AAAACAAATGTAGTTTATTTAATGACAGTTTGCTCATCTTACATCATTGTCTGGATTTCTATTTTTTATTGTGCTGGTCAGCGCTCCACTTGAATAATATTAACAAAATGGAATAGGGAACTGTGATGGTTTGCAGTTTGGTAAATGCATGAAGGTCAGTGTGCCTCCTACCTACCATAAAATCAGCCGATGTTTTTGGTACATTAACTCAAGCATATTTAATGAAGCCATGCAAAATATTGTCTATAAACTTTGAAATAACCTTCAAAATAAATTTGACTGGGTCTGAATTTTTTTCTTTTTAATTCAGGTTTAACACATTTAAGCTGTGTTAAAGACTAACTAGTGTAGATATATTGACCACTTAAGTTATGGTGGCACAAAAGTGCAAGGTTTTATCAAGGTAAAAATTTGCTTCTTTAAATGGGGATAATTTTCCCTTTCTTTTTTTTTTTTAATGAGCTGATTCTGAGGGATCATGTAGGATTCTTCACATTTTTGAGTGGATTTCTGCTCAAATTTCTTTTTCTTTCATGAATATTAAAATAGATGAAAGAAAGACACCTGAACACTAAAACATGATTTCAATAAATGACTTCTCACAGTGGACTTTATTTACTACACTCTATTTGTGTCAAAGAGGTCCAGAGGCCTGTACATGATTGCGGACTCCAGTGCAGAACCAAACACGGAGACAGCAGAGAACTTAAAGTATAAATAAAGGGGAAAACTCAACAAGGGACTCATGGCTTGGTGATTTAACTTGGCGAGGTAAAACAGAGGAGTGATTTTACTGATACGTAGAGGGGGTAGGTGAAGGTCTGGTCAGCAAGCTGAGTATACTGACGATGGGCTGGCCTGAGTTCCAATCACTTAACATTTTGAAAAGAAAATCTGTGTGTTCTTTTAGCCCAAATCCCAAGAAATATGGCACCAATAGAAAGCCCACGATGTCATCTTGACAGTAAAGTAGTACTCATATACATTGCATAAATTGTGCTTGGCATAGAGGTCTCAGAGTGATGTCCTCCACAAAGGACAAAAATTTATTACTGGATCTTTTGAAGTTATAAAACAGACAGTGCTGTCAGTATTGTAACTCCTATGATTTCTACATTTTGCCTCTAACAACTCCTCTAACACCATTTGCAGAAGTAATATCTTATTCATCTGTCAAAATACAACCACTTTCATTTATTGTTTTTTCGTGGGAAGAACACGACCAAATTACCGTACCCGTAAGAACCAGTCACAACTGAGCACTCCACCACAAGGTCCAACCTAACATCAGGGCTGATTGGTCCAACAAACTGTTTTGGGGACACGGAGGACACTAGCAACTGTGTTGCAAAGCAGGTAGAGCTGGTGGTGACTAGCTAGCTAAAACGCTTCAACAGCTGATCTAAGAAGCCCCTTTAAAAGGAACTTAGAAAGGCACAGGTGAGGTGAGAGGAGGCGAAGAAGGAGCTGCCTCCTTCGGCTACTGCAGCACACATAGATGACCACTGGCCCAAGAGACAAACTCAGGTCAGTAAATCAGAGGCTGTCACTGCCTCTAAAGTGTTTATTGATACACTTTCAGAAGGTTGTTATCATGGGTGAAGTGTCTTGCCCAAGGACACAACGACCGAGACTGTCCAAGCCGGGGCTCGAACCGGTAACCTTCCGATTACAAGGCGAACTCCCAACTCTTGAGCCACGATAAGTAAGAGCCAAGATGATGTAAATTGATTTCATTTCTGGAGTGATTATTATAAGTCAGCGAGTGCCAATAAGCACTCAATAATGTCAATGTGGTTCTGTTGAGTAATACAGCGAGTCCTGATATAACAGCTTTGAAAAGCATTTGTAGATATTTGTCTTGATACAAGCTCAACCATCCCATTAAGGAAATCCCAAAACGTTGATTCTGTTCCTCTGGTCGTAGCGTTTACAGTGGGAGAAAGGTTTCATCACCCATCCAAGTGACATCAGGTTTCCCCAAACTTATACACAGTACCTTGCACAATATCTGAAACTAGCATCACTGACAAACAATGGGCTGTGAGGTCAGTTTCTTGATCATTAATAAACAAATAGTCATGACCACTGATCAACAACCACTGATACCATTGATCAGTGGCCATGATATTATATTATTACATGCTTCACTGTACTTGTGGTGCTTATGTAGGGTTTTTTATGAGAGAAGACAACTATGCTCCAATTACAAGTTTTCACAATTTCTTGTCAAAATGGTTAGAACCCTCTGTCTGACTCAGAGACAAGAGGCTGCCGTGCCCAGGCACTAAACACGTTTTATTATGTGTGATAAACAGGACACAAAGGTGATTGGCCAAAAGTTGGAAGAAAGCCACAGTTCTCCTTATTTGGCTGAGATCCAGCACTTTGGCTCATATTTCTTCTTCTGCAGCTTTCAGGGCATCTCTTTATTTGGAGATGACACTTCTGCCGCTCTCTGTTCTCCTGGCAACCAATTCTTGCCCTCCAGTCAGCCCTGTAGACTTAAAGAAGGGGGGCAGAGTGCATTCCATCAGGTTTATGGCGCACAGCAATATTTGCCTCTGTCATGGCTAACTTACAATTAAGTTACTAGTTACCAAAAATGATCATTTTCAGCCACATGTTCTCAATAAATATTCTTATTAGCTATAGTTCTTCTAGCTCCAGTGCTTAATTTAAACTGTGTGACAAAGCTCTGTGTCGTCATTGTCCACATGGGCGAGCGGGAACAACACAATGTGCGACATCCAGCAGCATCCAGCCTCCACACAGATAACATTTTCCATGGCCCTTTTGGACTTTGTCGTTTGTTTGTGCCTGGAGAGTCCAATTTTTGTTTAGGGTTTTTGCAGCACCCTGTGCAGAAGGAGGACACTCACGCTTGCAGAGGTAAGTCAATTTGCAGAGGTCACACATTAGCTCTTCCAACAAAGAAGTTTGGTTATGTTTGTTTATAGTTTAATGATGGGACCACATGCTCTGCATCTTCAAAGTTTCTTTGTTATTATTCATACACAGTAATGTGATGTATAGTGATATCTAGTATAACTGGACCAACCTCGTCCCTCTTTAATTTATGAAGACTGAATGTTGAATGTTGGACCTTGTGTATCTTGGGGGTTTCTTTCTGAACTTTGTTGACCTCAGTCTTTTTGCAGGCACAGAAAATAAAACCAGGAGTACTCTAAGTGCTTCTTCTCTAGGTGGATGATGATTACACTGTGTGACACAGGATGTCACCTTTGGTCTTGTGAGGAAGCAAAACTCAGGAAAAAGTGGGATTGAGCCTTTATATGGTACCCACATGTGTGCTGCTGAGAAGGATGGATAAGGATGCCGCAGCCAAATCCAGGCCTCGTCAGGTTGGTTGTAGTTGCAGAATACTAGGACTGAGACAGCCGAGACTGTCCAACTGTAGCCAACTTCAACAAAAGAATAGAGCAGCATTCAGTGATCACGACAAATGACAGTGTTTCTGTAACATTCAGATCCCTGATCTGATCTGTCTCCTTCTGCTTTTAGTAACCCAGCTATAGTAACCATACAGCATTCACTCTCTAAACACATGCCATGCACTTTCTAACTTCAAGGTTACTGCCTGCCAGCCATTTTAGAAACCATGTGATAACCTGACCTAACACCGTTTCTTCTTGTTCCCCTCAATGTTGAAGAAGAGGACATTTCAAGAAGTCTTAAAAACAGTGGACTGGGTCTGAAGACTGGAGCAGCTGAGACAAGTACATCCTGTACCTCCATCAGCAGCATGCCATCAATGACACAAAAGAGCCTAGTTTGACAGCTTTTCCCATCCTGCATGTCAAACAGCTGGAAAAGAAATTATCCCACATCCCAATGTTTCATCAACATGTGCCAGACACTGTTCCTGCCATTCATGGTTACATCACCTGAGACAGTCACGCCTACCTCAGGACCTCCACTTGTCACCTACTGATCATTATGATTATGAAGATGACAGTGAGTGCAATTAAGACTGTAAACAGCCACGACCGTGACTGTTTTGATGCATGTTTGTGCATTTTGTCTATTTCCTTTGCAGCTGTTTATTACTAACAAAGTGAAACCAAATTCTGTAGTTTATATTCTGTATGCATTTTCATCTTTACCAGCCACAATCTAACTACAATTAAGAATCCAGCATTCAGAAACTGTTGCCTCAGTGGCTTTATAAAATATGTAAGTAGTTCAGGTAATTTAGCCAGCTTTTGAATTACCACAAACACTTACAATATTCTACCTGCACAGTATGTTTTTGTATGAGATAGAAAAAGTAAGGTAAAAAAAGTCTTCCTCTTAGTAAGGTAGAAGTTATATAATTGATGGTAATTCAGTGAATATACTCGGGTGCTTCCCTTTGTTCCTTGGTACGTTGCTTTTCAGTGTCCTAGAATGTTTAATTGTCTTTCTGTTTGTAATCACTACCTGTTTTTCGTTTTTCACTTTGTACAACTTCTGCGTGTCCTATTCCTGTAAAATCTTTTACTGATACATGTGTTTTAATGTTAATAACACATCTTTCCTGTCAACATCATGTATTCACAGCATATTTGAGAAAGGAGATTCAGTTTAGTATAGTAGTGATTTAATAGTTACAGTGTGCCACTACCATTTAGAAGATTAGAATGAAAAAAAGTACACAAGGACTAAGGAGTCACTTGCGGTTGAAGAACGATTTACATTTTTTCAAACCTAGAGTATTATTTGTTGTTGTTTGCACTTCATAACACAAGTTTCAGGCAGCCCCCCTCGCAGAGATCCACAAATGTAAGATGCATTCAAGTCCCAGTGTAAAACCGGGACATCTGTTTTTTGTTTTGTTTTGTTTTGTTTTGCCAAAACATGTAAACTCCTTTTTCTAAATAAATTGAACAACTCTCAACCCCTTTACCAGAAAGCTCGGAGTTACCAATTACAGACACTTAGCAGTAGCCTATAAATGTTTAGTGCACAGCTGCAAGTGGGTGGGGCCGTCACTGTGGATCATCCTTTGCAGTCATTTTTACACTGGGACAATGCATCTGAAATACGACCTCGATCTTCGCGTTCCAGACGATTCGTCCGCACGTATTAAATGGGTTGTTGGTGAGCGAGAGAGATGTTACGTGTTTTTCGACATTTGTACGCACAGGTTTTCGTAAGGTAAAATAATCGGATTCGTGGGGCTGAATCTAAAGTAAGCTGTGCGTTAATGGTCGGTATTTAATTTTGTAAAATAGTTTTACGTGTGGCCAGGTTGCTTCGTATTTGGGTGTGGATTAAAGCTTGTGAGTCCTCAAATCATTGTACACATTTGTACATCTTAGTTTACACGTGTGGATCATATCGTACGCATTTGTTAGACTTTTGAAGCAAAATTCTCTCCATTACTTTGGTTCAGGACCGAAATCCGTTGCGACGTGGCTGTACTGTGTCTTTAAGGGAGAGTTGACGGGACACAATTGCTTTAAATGATACAAGAGGAACAATTTAACAGTGTCTTAGGGAGACGCGGAGAAAAGCAAACAGGGGGAAATAAACAGGCTGTTATTTCTGTTTGAAGGACTGGTAGAAACATATAAAAGATTTGCAGAAAAGCAGTTACTTTCTGAATTTACAGATCAATTTACAAGTACTGCTAACACAAAATGCTGTGGGAAGCATTTCCAACCCATAAAAATTAATTTAATTGATAGATAATAAATTCAGCCTTACAGTTTTTCTGATATCGTCTACATGAATTTGTAATCTGACTCAAAACTTCCAGTACTAGTAGTGCTCTTTAAAAAAAGAAAAGAAATCACACTTTATCTTTCGTCGGGAGCAACACCATGGACTTGATATTCAGTGCTACGTTATTGTCAGGTAAGACAACTTTGTACCTTCTGATTTTGTTTTTCATTTTCTATTTATGAATTACAGCAACCTATGAAAAATGGACTGACCTGGGCCAGTTCTAGACAGGCATATATGAGGGGGCAGACAGAAATGTAGCAATGTGCATATTGTGGCATTGGAGGAGGGAAAGGGGTGGGGTGCTGTGGATAACTGTTTTTGTCATGTAATTGGATTGGCTGTCCCACCTAAAGGCTAAGCTTCTCCTGGTCTAGTTCTTAGGGTCACTGAGGCATGCAAACCCCCTGACCACGTTAACGTGGCTATCCCTCAGGGGGGAAAACTGAAAAATAAAACAGCAAAAAATAAAATATTTCTCATCAGATTATAAAAGCTAAAAACATGACAGTTACCTTAATTGGATGGCCTGTATCAAATATATTCGAACCCAACAATAACACTTCTCACTATTGCCAATATTAACAAAACTAAAAGGATAGGAAAATAGAATAAAAAAATAAAGAACACCAAATATCCATCAGGATCTTTACAACCAACAACATAAAATTTATCTTAATTGGATGGCCTAAATCTCAAATTAATTGGCAAGATTAAGTAAGAATAAAATGAGACCTCTCAATATAGCCAATATTTGCAAAACTAAAAAGAGTTTGCATAGTAATAAAACACACATACACACAAACAATTCACCATGTCTCTTCCTACAACACTCAAACTAATTTGCAGAACACAATGGATTTAGAACAGAACATATTAACTTTTTTTGTATTTTTTTTATTATTACAACAAACAGAACTCTGTGTTTGCAACTAAACACTCTCCTTTCTCCTCAATCCACTTTACAATAACAGTCTCCTGTTTCCCTTTCCAAAAACTTTCATCCATATCCAAGTTATTCATTATGAACTTCTATTGGGCCAACATCACCAAATTTCTCTTTCTTTTATGTAACATGGTGTGACGATAGGGGTTAAGACCTATGACAAAGTGGAGAAGGAACTCTCATACGATGCTGAAGACACACCAATTAGCAGGACTGTTACAAACAATTTTCAATATTCTTATGTGAAAATCTAGTTTCCATTCTTGAAAGTCCCTGTCAAGGATGTTGAGCAGGGATCTTTTCAGAGACTGATGGGGAGAATCATAGGGTCACCAGAGTCTGTTTGGTCCAAAGTTGAGAGCGCAACACTTTGTTTTCCTTCTCTTTGTTGGATGTGACTCATCCTCAGCAGGAGATGACACCCCCCAGCAGTCATCCTCACAGATGTTTTTTAAGGAGTCAAGTGCTGCACTAACAACCTCAGAAGCACTGCACAGATCAATTCACTGACACTATAGAATAGCATTTGCTGGTTTTAAGACACCGTGCATCCACAATAGGAACTTTCCAATCTCAAAGAATTGATGCCTCTTAATTTGGCATAACAGGCCTGATGCCTCGGTGCACAGGTCAACGGCAGCATTATCATCCTCTGTCATTTCAGACAGGATACTAAGGATTTCTTCTTGATTTTCCACAGTGCACCTTGTCACCACATAGTGGCTTGACCATCTGATCTCAAGCAGCCTTTCTAGACAAGGTGCATCATGTTTATTGAGCACATAGTGGTGGTGAAAAAAGTTGTAGAGTGAACTAGAAAGACTAAAAAATCTTTTTGCACATGGCTCACTCTAATGGCATGCACAACCACTAAGTGCAGTTGGTTGTTGTAGCAGTGAATGTATGGGACATATTTGTCAATCCTCTCAAAGCGTGTACACCACATTTAATCCTACTCATTACAGGAGCCCCATCATAAAACTGGCAAAGTATACTGTCAGCATTGTAGCCAGCATCAGAAAGATGTAACAGTATCTCAGAGGTGATGTACTTTGCATTAAGTTGTTGCAAGTCAAGCAACCCAGTAAGATGCTCCTCTGGCATGGAATTCCCGATGAACCGTATTATCACAGACACATTTTCCACATTGCACCTATCCCTGGTCCCATCACTTTTGAGGCAAAAGCTTCTCATCCTTCTCTAAGGTATATTCCATCAGTTGTAGAAAAATACCTGAAGCAATGTCATCATCATTACCCGCTGCATCATGTCTCAAGGTTGGGTGGCTGTAGCTCAAGTGGCAGAGCAGGTCAGCCACTAATCAGAAGATCGGTGGTTCGATCCCCGGTTGCCTCCTGTCAAGTATCCTTGGGCAAGATACTAACCCCATGTTTGCCTACTGGTGGTAGTCAGAAGGCCTGGTGGCGCCAGTGTCTGGCAGCCTCGCCTCTGTCAGTGCGCCCCAGTGCAGCTGTGGCTACAACGTAGCTTGCCATTGCCAGTGTGTGTGAATGACTGAATGTAGTGTAAAGCGCTTTAGGGTCCTTAGGGACTGAATAAAGCGCCATACAAATGCAGGCCGTTTACCATTCAGGAGTCCCGCGAAGCCCCAACTCCTTTACACAGAGAAGTATATAGCACTACCAATACTCTTGACATAGCAATGTTTTTTTCACATTGTGTTTTACCAACCAACATTAAACCCACAGTCACCCCTGTGGCCTCTCTGTTTTTATGCTCAGTCCAGATAGCTGAAGCATGCACATGGTTGTGGCTGGACATATGCCTCTGTAGCCCCTTATCTCGACCAGGTGCTGTTTTCCATTTGTTACAACCAGTTATGGTAAAAACTACATCCTTCTCATTAACAGTGCTGCCATATTTCTAACAGGGGAAACAGAAGTATTCCAGCCATGGTTGTGTGTGGTACCAGGCAGGATTGATTGATCTTAATGTTGTACAACCAAATACACATTTGAGATAACTACTCAGTATTGTGGTGTGTTGCAATTTAAGTCACTGGGTAGCTGAGCAAGTTGCTTTGGGACAGCAATTGTTGGCAGAGGTACAGGAGAAGCAGCGCCTGTTGATGCCACAGGAGCAGACATGCTAGCTGTTGTCTCTGATGTACCAGCAACAGCATCATTGCTACTGGTATTGGTATAGGCAGGAGCAGCACAGAATTCTTTAAATGCTTGGAAAAAATAATGTATCTCACTTTCTTTTTCACTCACTCCCTTTGTGAGCTGCTGGAAGCTGGGGTGAAATGTGAAGAAGCTTTACTAAAATCACTGTTATTACATCAGTATGTGAAATGAGAAAGCTGTTGAGTGCAGAGTTGAAAACTGGGGCAGGGCTTTGTGTCGCGGACACAGACACAGGCCCTTCAGTCAACTCTGTGCAGCAGACAGGCTCACAGAAAGATACACTTCTCTATCAGACTGAAACTGTGAAAACAACAATGGAATTGTTGACTGTATAAATATGTTTGTATTTTTTAGTTGTTAATTATCTCACGAAATATTAAGTGATTTTTACGACAGAGGTTTGCTGCTTCATTTTGCTCTGCCCTACCTGCTGAGAAACCTGACACCGGGTCATTTGCATACTAACAGTGATTGGATGTTTAGCTGGGAGGAGGGTGAGTAGGGGTTCTCTGCTGAGGGTTGTGCGAGTTTGCGCACCAACAGAGCACAGAGGGAAAGAGTGGACGAGATGTGAAACTAGGGCTGCACGATTTTGCATAAAATGAGAATCACAATTTTTTTGCTTAGAATTGAGATCACGATTCTCTCACGATTTTCTTTTCCAATATAAATATTTCTTGCACTTATTTACTGCACATCAACTTCGTAACAGTTGAGACTGAACATAAAAACAATAAATAAACATAAAAACAATAAATGTCTCACATTTTGTCGTTGCCGCAAAATGTTGTACTGCTTGAAATTCCGTCTCTGCTGTTGCTCAACACTGCGTGTATAGAGCAGGTAGTGCAACATTTTTAAAATAGTTGTGGGACGGCACTGTGTAGCGTTTGTCTAGGGTGTTGATCATTTTCCTAAATCCCTCGTTTTGCACAGTGTTGATGGGAGCCATATCTTTGGTCAGGTGATAAGTGATAGCCTCCGTAATTTCTTTGTGCCTGCAGGAGGTCGACGGGTATGGGGAAGCGCTGTATAACGTTCCCGTTATTAATGTTTGGGTGGCTGACGGGGACGGATTTTCTCCTGTCACTTTCTTGGCCTTTACAGCTTCGTCATATTGCACTTTATGGTGACGTTTGAGGTGGTGCTACTATGGCAAAACACAGCTTGCAAATTATATATTTTTTGGACTCTCATCGTCTTCTTTGAAGGCAAAAAACTTCCACACGGAGGAATGAGAACCTTGGAAGTAATTTTACAGTGGGGTTGTCATTCTCACTGCTATCAGGAAACGTTTTCTCTGCGCTCATTGTGTTTTCTCCCCTCGGGCAGTTTCACGTGCTCTCCGTTGTTTTTTTTTCCCTGCCAGATGGCTTCTGTATCACGTGGTATAAGGCTCCACCCTTGTCATTTGTTGAGCAGGAAGCGTGAGTGCTTGTTTTCATGCAGATTACGTCCCGGATCAAAATGCGGTACAATCGTCTTTTTTTTTTTTTTTTTTTTTCCTAAATCGTTGTCATTTGGAAATGAGATCGCACATAAGTATGAATTGAAATCGCGATTTTCTAACGATTAATCGTGCAGCCCTATGTGAAACCATCTCGTCGGCGATCGTGGCTCAAGAGTTGGGAGTTTGCCTTGTAATCGGAAGGTTGCTGGTTCGAGCCCCGGCTCGGACAGTCTCGGTCGTTGTGTCCTTGGGCAAGACACTTCACCCGTTGCCTACTGGTGGTGGTCAGAGGGCCCGGTGGCGCCAGTGTCCGGCAGCCTCGCCTCTGTCAGTGCGCCCCAGGGTGGCTGTGGCTACAATGTAGCTGCCATCACCAGTGTGTGTGAATGGGTGGATGACTGGATATGTAAAGCGCTTTGGGGTCCTTAGGGACTAGTAAAGCGCTATATAAATACAGGCCATTTACCATTTTACCATCTCATTTGTGCCTTTTCTAGTGGATTTTTCAGCTACTGTAGTAAATCTTGTCCATATTCATATGTTTGTGGGTAATCTATTTTATTTCTTATTTTGTTATTTATTAAGTTTGAATTAAGGGGTAGGAAATTTGTTTAAGGGGGCGTTGCCCCCTCTTGCTCCAGCATATAGCCAGGCATGGGACTGATTGGTACTTTATGCAATAAAAACTGCAGACTGCCTTCTAAATACAGAAAGTGCAATAATCTTTTAATTATGTTTTTCTTAATGTTGTGATATAATGTACATTCACAACTGTGTAAAAGTAAATAAAAATGGTATATTCTTTAAAAGCCACAACAACACAATTGAGGTTGTGTCGAGAAGAAAAAGAACATTTGCATTTGAATGTAGTTACAGAACATTTTCACATGCAAAAAATAGTATCGTTTGATATCATATTAACTTTTTTTTAGGAAGCTGTGTTATATCATGTCATAGCATGACTTGTGTGGCAGGCATCAAGTCTGTCAATTAAAGCTGGTCTTGGCCAACTAAATACAACTAATAACGGAATCATTCTTGAAATTATAAAGCTATTGGGGAAGCAGAACATATTTGCAATAAATATCGAGTGAATCAGAATCAGAATACTTTATTAATCCCTAGGGAAATTATGTTATGTTATTATTGAAATAGTTAGTATTTGGATTTACTAATGAGATATAAACATGTCCATTGGAATTTTTTGATTGCTTACATTTTTGGATAACTTGGCATGCCTCAAGTCAAATTGACCCAGGAACATCATTGCTGTGCCTAAGTAACTAACATAACAGGAGGGTTAAGTACAAGTGGTAACTGCCTGAATTAACCATGAATGACAGTATAAAATAAATATTTATAAAACGTCAATGTCACTTGCAAACAATGAGCTCATATTCAATCATATATGTAAATCCACATCTAAATACTTGGTTATTCACTTATCTAGACTTGATAAAGATCTAAAGTTATCTTTATACTGAATATAAGATTATCAATCAAGAGCAAACATTTAATAAACAAAGCTGTATTCATAAACTACATACTAAGCAGGATTAAAGCTTTATAAATGATGAATTTAGCACTTATTAATACATTACTAACTCTTTACAGTGTGGCATTATTATATAGTGTTATTATGTAATATGGTACTATCACATAGCTTTATCAAACAAAAGGCTCTCAGAAACTGGGGAAAACTCTGACAGGAAGAGGTCTGGCAGACCCAAAGCCACAACTGAATCAGAGGACAAGTTTCTGAGAATTAACAGCTTATGTGATAGGTGGCTCACAGGACAACAGCTTTAAGCACAGCTTAGTAGTGGGCGTAGTAAGCAAGTCCCAGTTTCAGCTGTGAAGAGAAGACTTTAAGCTGCAGGTTAGACAGGACGAGTTGCAGCAAGAAAGCCATTGCTACGATGCCACAATAAGACAAAGAGGCTTGTCTGGGCAATGAAACACCACCCTTGGATTACTAAAGACTTATTATTATTATTATGGACTGATAAACTGAAATTTGAAATCTTTGGTTCGTCACGCAGGATTTTTGTATGCCTTCAAGTAGGTGAAAGGATGTTTCCACAGTGTGTGGTATCAGTTATCAAACATGGAGGAGAAAGTGTGATGATCTGCGGCTGTTTTGCTGGATTCAGGGTCAGTGACTTGTACAGACTGAGAGGCACCCTGAACCAAAATGGCTACCACAGCATTCTGCTTACAATACCCTCTGGTATGTGTCTAGTTGGTCAGGGGTTCATTCTACAGCAGGATAATGACCCAAAACATAAGTCCAAGCTTTTTTTTTTTTTTTTTTTTTTTTTGTGTCTTCTCTCAGTGTCCCTCTTCCCCTCTGTTTTTCTTTCCCTCCCATTCTTTCTTTTTCCCTTTCTTAGCCTCCATTCATCTCTGTCCAGTCTATAATAACTTAAAATAAAATTAAATAAATAAATAAATAAATAATAATGTTAATAATAAAGATCAATCAAATGGACCAATATGGCATAGCCATACTGACCCACTTGGAAAAATAAATCCATTGACCTTCAGACAATAATTCTGATTGCTAAAGTACAGAACGGAACAGGCAAAAAAAAAAAAGGAAAGCAAACAAACAAAATGGGCTCCACATTAAAGTTTTATAAGTGAAAAGTTACTACCTTTAAATTGTCTTACTCTAGTGCACTCTAGTGGTAATGAAAGAAACACTCTGGTACTCGAGAGGTAGAATGAAATTAGACTAACACAGCGTAAACAGTTTCCGAAATGTCATTATGATTAGTAGTGCTATAATAATAATGTTATCTTTTTTTACAGTGATTTTAAAGATTTGTGTTCATTATTCCTCAGTGTTAAATGCTGCACTTGGTTTCAATATTGATCCTGTGGCTTGGAAGACCCTGAGTAACTCTGCTGCTGGTTTTGGTTACCAGGTGGTGCAAAGACAATCAGAGTAAGTCAGGACATGCATTGTTATGTTGAAAGCGAGTTTACAGCTGCATGTTTAACATTACTGCTATTTCTTTTTATATTTATTTACCATCTCTGTTATGCTATATGGACATATGGAGTTTATTTAATTAGAGTTTGCTTTCTAGACTTACATGATTGACTGGATTTATTTTGTTAGTTTGCTCATCAGTGCTCCACTGGAACAGCATTCACAAAATGGAAGAGGGAAAATATACAGCTGCAAAACCTCTTCCCAAAACTGCCAAAATATACAGTTTCAAGGTAGGTAACCATTCATTTCTAAATGTGCTAAAACTTGGATAGTATTTTGCCATAAAAATAGATATCCATAGATCCTGTCGCATACATTTGTTTAAATCAAATCACAGTTACAGTAGATTTCCATATTAGATATCTTAGTATGTAACGTTCAGCCTTAAAAATGAAATAAACTTTCCAACTGATGATAAAAACAAGAAAACATTTCTTAAATTTTGACAAGTGACGAAGAAAAGTAAAACTGAGTTTTGTTTTGCATTCCTTCATTTTGAAAATATACCAGATGAAAACTACTGTTTATCTCAGTTTCCAGTCTAGACGATACCACTTCTTATAGTTATCATGAATTGTGGCACTTTGTAGTTCTCAATTTGAATATTGTTTTCTTCCTTACACAAAGTGTATTTTAGGAGTGTTTTAACACATTTGTAATGATTTCAATACAGCACCAGAGTTTGCAGTCAACATGTCGCTTGGTTTGTCAATGAAAAGTGATCCGACAGCACAAAACACTGTGGTGAGTTACTTAACTGCAGACATTACCAGTGATTGTATCTCTCTATATCTGTATATCTCTTTGTCTCTCTCTCTCTCTTCTTTAAACAGACTAAAAGTCAGCAGATTTTAAAGATTTGTGTCGGAATTTCTTGTTTGATTTTATATAGAATTAATAATTGTTTAAGTGACAAAAAATACTCAACCTGCTGAATTATGGCATCTTGGCTTTGTCTCCTCTCAGGTGTGTGGTCCAACCATTCCAAAGGACTGCAGAAGTATCACCATGTACAACGGTGTGTGCTTTCAGTTGGAAAGTTTCAAAAGGATCAGACCACCCATACCTTCTTCTATTCAAGGTAACAGTAAATGGTCTTTGCCTCTCTGTCTCATTCTCTCTCTCTCTTACACACACACACACACACACACACACACACACACACACACCATGTATATCATTACTCCTGGTGTGTGGTATTCACTGACCCTTTACTAAGGTACAAAATCCTTTTGCTTGCATGATATCAGTTTGAAAAGATATAAAATTAACCCTTAAAAATTAACATAATTCTGAATCCATCTCTTTGACAGAGTGTAGAACACAAGCAGACATTGCCTTTCTGTTGGATGGTTCAGGCAGTGTAGATAATACTGCTTTTCAAACGATGAAGGGATTTGTGAAAGATCTAATCCAATCATTTCTCTCAAGTGACACACAGGTGAGCAGCTGCTGTCTCTCTGTCAGCAAAATCATAGCAAAGACATAAAATAGCTACATTTTTATTTCTATTGAGTATTTTTTCTCTCTTTTTCAGTTTTCTGTTTCCCAGTTCTCTACTTCACCACAGGTTCACTTTTACTTTAAGAAATTTTCCTCATCTGGATCAGTGGAGACTGACATCAATGACATCAGTCAACAGGGGAGAGCTACTTACACAGCCGAGGCCATCAGATATGTTGTGTAAATAATGCAGTTATAATAGTGAAGAAGTGCAGATACATTATTGTCCAGTTGATTTTTTTCCATAAATCTGATCACATTAAGTACTGTGTGGACTGTATGACTGAGGGAAGCCTTTTAAAAGACACACTGTACACAAACTTGTGCTTCAGAGTGTCATCTTCTACTGAGAAGATGTTATGGCCCCAACTGGCTAAATTCAAATATTTGCTGAGTTTAATTTGAAAAAACAAAAAAACAAACAAACAAACTTGTATTAGGTTGTTTTGTGCAAAAGTTTAAAAAATTGCCAAAGAGAATGACATGCAGAAATAATAATAATGTGGTTTACCTGATTGTGTATAATTTACAAGATCAACTGTAAAACAATGTTATCAAGTATTTTTTATTTTTTTAATTTGACAGGAACAATGTTTTCACACCACAAAGAGGTTCCAGACAAAATGTGAAGAAGGTCTTGATAGTAATTACTGATGGACAATCTCATGATCGGTTTGATCTGGGAGATGCAGCACAGCTAGCAGAGAGTAAAAACATTGTTCGATTTGCTATTGGGGTAAGTACTTCCATTATTTAAACCTGCAGAATGTTGCATTTTATACTAATAATGAGTTTTGTTCAGTTGTCACACTACAGTCAAATGAAGCTGCACTATAGGGAGAAAATTCCAGGCTAGTTGTTCGTTTCTCTATAGTGATAGATCAGCTGGAGGATTAGGACTGCCTAATCTAATTGGTTATTATTGGGCATCCAGCATGCATAAAATATTATTGTGGTGCACATCCCCTCAATCCAATTGATGCCAGAGCGAAGCAGCCTCCTGCTCCTCGTTGTTACACGTTTTAACATGCAATGCCTTATAGTCACCCTTATTAAGCCTACCTTCCAACCCAGTTGTTGCTGGATTTTGGTCACGAATAAGAGGCCACTTTGGTTGGCTAACTGTAATAGATGCTCACAGACACTTTGCAATCTTACTCATATGTTTTGGGCATGTCCCAGGCTGTCTGAACTTTGGCATCAATTCTTCAAAATAATTTCAGATATATTAGGTATAAATCTAACTCCGACTCCATGTTGCTACTTTTGGCAAACCATTAAATAACCTTGGTACCACAGCCATCCAAAATAACCTTATCGCCTTTGCTTCTCTTATTGCCCAAAAAGAATTTTGTTGTCATGGAAATCATCTCAGCCACCATTAACCAAAGTCTGGTTACATGACATCCCAGGATATTGCTGTATGTACCTACAAATGCCTGTCTGGCATTTGTCTGGCATCTGATAAATAAAAATGAAAAATAAAAAATAGGAAGAAAACTCCTGAGCCAGCCACTCATTACAGCTCCGAAAGCTGCTTGGCCGGAGAAAACCAGGCGATGAAACTCCTGTTGCACAGTTTTTGTGCTCTAAATGTTTCGACTTTAGAATAATACCACTTATAGTCAATCATAGAACATACAGCAGCCATGAAATTTTACAAACTGACTTACTGCAGCAGTGATATCGTTTAGCAGTACCACACTTAAATTCAGTGAGCTCTTTAGAATGATGCATTCACAAATATTTGTAAATTCAGACTGCATGGCTAAGTGATTTTTTTTATTTTTTATGCCTTTAGTAATGTCACTGAAAACACCTGAATTCAAAGATTAAGAATTGTTATTATATACTGGCCACATATTTGTATATACACCATAAAATGTCTCTATAGTGCATTTATTTAGATCAGTTTATTTGTTTAGATAAAAGCTAATCTCACTGACCATGTAACCTTGAAAATAAAGCATGGTAAATAAATGAAAAAGCTGAATTATTAATGGAAACATGAGATATGTGTGTAATACAAATACAGCTAGTAGAGGAAAAAATATGTGTAAAAACTATTTTATAGCATGACATAAATGTTATCATGGATTTAGGTTCTATTCAGTGTTAGAGAGTTTAAAACCTGTTTGTAAATCAAGTGAAGTTTAACGAATGTATTTTAATAAAGTGAGCAAATAATTTTGCATAGTATGAGGACTCAAACATATTTGTCAACAAGGTGGGGAACGCATTTAATAACCCTGATGCCAAAAGAGAACTGGACACCATTGCATCGTCTCCCTCAAACAAACACGTCTTTCAAGTGAAGAACTTCAACGCACTTGAATTAATTAGACAGAATCTGCAGGACAAAACTTTCTCAATCGAAGGTACAAACATAAATTTATTGTTACAACTTTGTAAAAAGTCCTGTAAATGTTTCAAAAATTAAAATGATTGCACTGTAATAAATGCTACTTTCAGCCGCTCACTTATTCACAAGGGATTTTTTCACAGTCATTATGAGGATCTGTGTCCTTCTGGAATTGAAGCAGTTAACTTTCATTTGTTGTGTAAAATGCTACAATAAGAAGCAACTAAAATTAGTACATTGTATTAACTTTATTGTACTGTATTCAGTAAAGTCACATGTAATGTTTTTTAAAATAAACTGTAAAAAGATAATTTTAAATAATTACTTGAAACATAAAAAAATAAACCTTCAAATTGAATTTGACTCATCGTGTCTCTCTTTTACCTTCTCATTTATTTTTCTGTTACAGGATCTCAAAGCAGTGGAGAGTCACTGGAAATGGAAATGTCTCAAGAGGGATTCAGTGCAGTTATTGTGCCCGAGGTAATTAAAACCACCTGAAACTCACCAGACAGTCTAGTCATAGAAAGAGAGATTCACATGTGCCTTTGTGGCAGTTTTTAAGACCTAAGGGCAAATAGACAGTTAAACACAGTCCAGATTTTAAAGGTAAAAATATACTGTATATAAAATGTTTATTTGTCTGCACTGTAGGGAATTCAGATGTCTATTGTTGGTGCAAACCAGTGGAAGGGAGGCTACGTGCAATACACAACAGGAGGCCAGAAGCTGAAAACATATGAGGATGTGTCTTTGGAGTCTGACAGTTATCTTGGTAAGAATATTACAGCTTTAACAATCTAACTCATACACATGTGATCATGTATATACACCGCTCTGCTGTAATTCTTTGACACAAACACACTGAAGAGTTTGCATAACAGACATAATTTAAAAGGATTAATCAGGAATCTTAATCTGTCTTCTCCTTTTGAAAACCAAAATTCTAGGTTACTCCATGGCGATTGCTAAATCCTGGCATGGCTCTCTGACAGTTGTTGGTGCTCCAAGATATAAACACAGAGGAGTTGTGTTTGCTGTTAACAGAGAAAACTTGAAAAACCAAAAGATTGAGCCCTTTTCATCACAGGTATTCATTTGTATTAAGACAGATATGAATTAAATTATAATTTCCATAGAAATGATCTCAGATACAAAAATAATAATATCTTCCTTACACAGTATCAGACTGGTGCATATTTCGGGGCAGAGGTGTGTACCATGGACATAAATAATGATGAGATCACTGATCTTATCTTCATATCAGCCCCAATGTACATGGAGCCTGATAGAGAGGGAAGAGTTTATGTTTGCAGATTAACTGGTTTGGTAAATCAGTTTTATTTACTGCAGTTAAATTAATTGGTTTATTTGTCAACTTTCTTAATGTTCATAAAATATTCACTCTCCTGCTTTCAGTTTGTGGAGTGTAATTTTGATGATCCATTAGTACTAAGAGGACATGCAGCTGTCAAAGGAAGGTTCGGCTCTTCTCTTGCTGTGCTGCCTGATCTAAACTCAGATGGATTCATGGATTTGGCAGTTGGAGCACCTTTAGAGAATAATGGTGAAGGCAGCATCTACATATTCCACAGTGAAGGAGGAGGAAGAATCAGTCCTACTTACTCACAGGTACACAACATCAAAGAACTCACAAAGATGACTAAACTTATTTATCACTATACAATCTGCAGCTTGATTAATTAAAATGTTTTCATGTACACAGAGAATTACTGGCTCTGAGGTCCAGTCAGGACTGAAGTTCTTTGGTCTGACAATCAGTCAGTCGTCTTTTGACCAGAGTGGTGATGAACTGCCTGACTTAGCGGTGGGTTCAAAGGGCACAGTTGTCTTACTGAGGTAAGTCCAAGAAAGTGTAATTGTACTTTTGTCTATTGTAATTCTGCAGTATTTGTTGATATACATATTTACAGTATGCATTAATGATCAAATATTTAGGTACATTTTAAAGTTCATTATTATAAGAATGGCACAGATTTTTATAATATCATATTTATGTTGTATAAAAATTATTAATTATTTATGATTAATTATCACATAAAACATTAACTCTAATTTACATTATTTCTGGTAAGAATTTGGGGGTTTGGGATATGATTTGTGTTTTGTTTCCTTGTTCCCTATTTCCCTTGTTATCTGGTGTCTTTATATTGCCTGAGTCTCCCTCTGTTCCTTGTTGCATCATCACGCTAGACTGCATGATTACCCTGTTTGCTTTTGTTTTGAAAAGCAGCATTAAAGCTGCAGGAAGGAACATCTGGCTGAACAAGGCTCGGGCATGCACAGCTATCTGCCATTCACATGTTTCTTACTTTCCAGATCAAGACCCATAGTAACAGTAAAGGCTGAGGTATCGTTTAGCCCAAAGAAAATCCCTACACAGAATGTAGAATGTTCAAAATCATTGGAGAACACAGCTACAGTCTGCTTTACTATGAGCAGAGTGTCTACAGTCAATGAAGGTTCATTACCCTTCCCACTTGTTATAAACCACTGCCCATCATTTTTATTTTTAATGTATTTACATTTGCAATATTTTAATCAAATTCTGTTTCTCTATTCAAGCTCGAGCAGTGATTGATTACACTTTAACACTGGATGCCACTCGCAAGCCTCCAAACAACCGAGCTTACATCAGTGGGAAACAACGAGAGCAGTCTGGATCAGTTACTGTTGACTTAGGAAGACAACAATGTATAACTATAAAATTCCTCATTGAAGTAAGATCTAATAACAATCTTAGAAAAAAGTCCTAAAACCAACAGAGTTTTGAGTCATTAAACAAATGATTTTCTTTTAATTCATTTTATTTTTAAGACTCCTCCAACATTGAACCTAAACCTCTTCTTGCAGGCTTGCCCTGAAGATGCTCTCAATGAACTTTCCAATGAGCTCAAATTCACGTTTAATGGTTTGCCCTCAAACACAAATCTCAGACCAAGTCTTGCCCCGCAGGCCCAAACAACAACCATTCATCATGTAAGTAACCTTTTAAAAACCCTATTAACTCACCAACTGAGGCTAGACTTTATGAAATTATGACAAACCTTTAGGTTTGCCCTTACCTTTACTGAATCCATTTTATTAAAGGCATGCATCTGACTAACACTGCTTTGAGAGACTTCTGTTGAAGTACTGGAAGTAAATGAGTCACCAGTGATGGTCTCTGTTTAAAGCTGAGCCCATGAAGACCTTCTGCCTGTTCACAAAAAAACATAAAATAGAAAAAAAATGTATATATTTTTTACAAGTTTATAAGCAATTCTACACCCCGTTCAACAACATAAATATGAAATATACTCTACATATAAGTTATAATATAATATAAACAAATGTACTTGTCCACTGGTTAATTACAAAACCTTGTGGGTGCAAGGACCTCACAGCACAAGCAGACTCCCAACGTATTGTATGACTGTGCTGTATGTTATATATCATGTATATATATAATGTTTTTTTTTCTATAATGTCTACAAATGTCAAGAAGTCACAAGCAAAGTGAGACCACATCATAGTGCATGTTTAAGGAGGGTTTATTCATCAAAATTATTTATAGATTAAATAGACATAACATTATTTTGTCCATGTTCCATGTCCTGATATCAGACAGAAATGTCACATGATATTAAACAGAAGCTTAAATAACCAACTGAACTCTGTAGAGTGGGAAATTATCATAAAGAAGTTCATTTTAATTTGTAGTTTCAAGCTGCTCTTCATATTTTGGCCACCAGATGTCACCAAAGAGAACTGTGTCCAAATGCTTTGAGTAATGAGTTTGTGATGTGTTACAGACAAAATAGTATTTTACTTATTAATCACCAGTGTTGGGCAAGTTACTTTGAAAAAGTAATTAGTTATAGTTACTAGTTACTTCTTCAAAAAAGTAACTGAGTTACAAGATTCTAAAAGTAATTAATTACTTGAAAAGTAACTATTGCGTTACTTTAAAA